AACTGATATTAAATGAGAATTCATGACTTTGAAATCAATCCCAAGTCAGTTCCTTGTTTATTTTCCAATTGTGTTAAAATTTGGATGAATTGATCCTAATTCAAGATTTTGATTGAAAGTTGACTAAAATAAATCATTGCCATAGGCAAAGCGATCGGAGAATAGTGTTTTGTTTGTTTAAAGACATGCTGTGCTGTTACTCGTTATGTAGCTGAGAGCGAGGGTCCTGCTACTGCCCCATGGGCTGTTACTGCGTGTGTGCATCTCAGAGCAGATACTTCTTGGATGCTGAGGAAAATGATACAGAGCTTCTGTGCTGTGAAGCAAGATGCTAATAGAAATATTTAATTTAGCTGTGGTATAATATGCACAGGATTTTCCCCTTCCTCTGGGGACTTGCCATGCAGCTCTAACTGTCCTAGAACTTATTGTACGAACAGGCCAGTTTTACCCTTGGCTACTCTCTTCCCTCTGCCTTCTGAGTGCTGGGATTATAGCCATGGGTCACCAGGCTGGCCTTTAGAGTAGTATTGGGAGTCACAGCTAGAGATTTTGGATCTATTACCTGGTAAATAGGCAGTAAGTGTGTTGAACTGTAATGTGAAACATACTCTATAAGAAAGTTTTGATGTTTGCCACACAATGTTTGAAATCGGGAAATCAAAAGCAGCATGTCTTTAGCTGTACTCTGCCTGTTCATTGCCTACCTTTGCACTCCTTTGCTGGTGTCCTATTTTAGCAGGTCCAACTGATAGGACTATGGTACAAAAGATCTCAATAGTTGTGGTTTGAGAGAGAAATGTCTCCTCCCATAGGCTCGGGTATTTGAACCTCGGTTGGTGGTACTATTTGGGAAGGCTCCTGGAGGAAGCATGTTGCTGGAGGTCGGCTAGGAGACGATGTAGCCTTGCCCTGCTTCTAGTTCACACTCTCTGCCTTGTGTTTACAGATGAGGCGCTATCTTTCAGCCTTCTGCCCCTGCTCCTATGTCTGCTCCTGTGTCTCCCTGTCATGGTAGACTGTTTTTCCTCTGGAACTGTAAGCTGAAACAAACTTTTCTTCTAGATGTTGCTTTTGGTAGTGGTGTTTTATCAAAGCAACAGAAAAGTAATGGAATTTTGTGGTGCATGTAGTTGGACATAGAAGAACCACGGCGCTGGGGCCTATTACAGAGCACAGCTGTCAGTGGTGAGCACACCCTGTCCTCTCTGCTGGGCTTCCTGCCTCTCACCTCGCCCTTCTTTCCTTTCCAGTTAGCTCTGCCTCTTCTTTGCTTTCTTTTATTTCCTCTTTCCTTCCTTCCTTCCTTCCTTCCTTCCTTCTTTCTCTTTCTTTTCTTTCTTTCTTTCTTTTTTCTTTCTTTCTTTCTTTCTTTCTTTCTTTCTTTCTTTCTCTCTCTCTTTCTCTCTTTCTCTTTCTTTCCTTTCTTCTTTCTTTCTTTCTTTCTTTCTTTCTTTCTTTCTTTCTTTCTTTCTTTCTCTCTTTCTCTTTCTTTCCTTTCCTTTCTTTTCTTTCTTTTTCTTTTTTCTTTTCTTTCTTCCCCAAAGTTAAAGAAATGAGCTGTTCACCCCCCCGTCTCACATCATTCTGGCACTGTTTTAGGCTGTTATCCTGTTGTAAGTGGAAAGTTGACTGAGACCTCCCAGTTCACAGAGAAAAAAGGGAAGAGCAGCCTCTTTGGCCAAGGGAGCATAGCAACTTCTGGAAGGAGGGCTTCAGTCATTTCCCCTTTACCGCAGCTACTACGTTCTTAGGCTCGGCTTCCTAGTGTTCACATTTAGCTCTGCATCGTAATTTCCCGCTTGTCCAGCCCTGGCGGCTCCTTGTTGCCTGTGTCTAGCAGAGTCATGAGGCTTGGCACACTGTGCTTGACTATACCGCCTTCCCAACTTGCTTGTGTGTTCTTAAACTGAACTAGTTGCTGAGTTCCAACAACATATTTCTCATTGGAAACAGCTACATCTAGAAAAAAGATGATAGTGATAATTAGTCTCTGAAGGATCTGAACAAAGCATTGTAGCTAATCCTTGGGGGTGACATTTTTCTATCATTATTGGTGGAAAGTATCAGTTTGACTTATTATTTTCACCATCATCATCACCATGGTCCTTGCTATTGGTAGAGATGCCAGTATCTGCCTCTCTGTACAGTTACATGACAACTAACCAAAGAAACGTGACTTAGCACTGAGGACTCTTTGGACAGCAGCTTCTCTATGGTCAGTACTTCTCAGTGCTTCTGTCTGTCATGCTGCCTATGAAATGGAAAATGGGATATGAATTTCAATAGAAGTTATAGATGTGCAGGCCACAAGGAATGGGCTGGGCTGAAGACAGCCACAGGCTGCAGGCCCTGGGCAGCATGGTCCCAGAGGGCAGCACTACAGTGAGGAAGTATGTGGTGGAGAGATGGGAGACAGAGAAACGGAGCAGTTTGTGTACTATGGACAGAACTGGAGACACGATAGCAGCGAGGAACAGCCTGATGTGAGAGAGGCCTGAGCTGCCACCTGAGGCTGTGGTGATGTCCTGGGCCCGTGCAGCTGCTGAGGGCCATGTCTGGGTCTGTATTCCTGTCACAGCAGGAGTCTGTGTCGATGTCCGTGGCCCACGTTACCACCAGAGGCCATAACACTAAAGGCCATGTGGGCATCCATGGTCTGGTCTGGGCATCTCTGGTAAGGACTGCTACTTGAGGCCATATTGGTCTGCCACCACACAGTGGCGCCCTGCACACATGGGAGAGAGGGCCTTGATAGTGCAGAGCTGGCCCCGCCCCTCGCTGACTGTGGTACTCTAGTGAGCCTGTCAGACCCTTGCCTGGGCAGCCCGGGAGAGCTGACCCCAAACCTTGCCAGACCAGCAGGACAGCCAGCTCTGGTATTGTGCAGGCTGATCAACTCAGCTACCGCCCGGGCCCAGATACAGGGCTTTGACCTGGCCCTCCCTAACATCTAGCCCATCTGTGAGCTCCTGGAGCATGTGAAGGGGCTGGTCCTGCAGAACCAAAGCTGCAGGATCTCCATCACTCAGGACAAAAGCAGAATATCCGAGAGGAGTCTTGGTGACAGTCCAGCATTGAGGCAGAACAGGCCTTAAACGAGAGCAGTGACTCATTGCAATGAACATTTGCAAATAAAGACGTGTGGACAAAAGAGTGTACTGTATGACACACCGTGACTGTAGCTTCTGTGGGGAGATGCTTTGTTTTCTTTTGGGGAGAGTTTACAAGAATGGAGCGTGGATATAGAAGGACTGAGAAATGAGTGGGGTTGGGGTACATGATTGAAAGTCACAAAGAATCAATAAAAATTTGTATAAAAAGTAATAGATGTAAAAATGTTTTGAGTGTAGAGTACTGTGTAAGCTTAAGCTACGATTAGTAGATTTAGTGTGTATGTTTGCTTCCATTGCTGTGGTAAGACGCCATGACCGTAAGTAACTCGGGGAGGGGAGGGTTTGTTTGACAGGTTTCAGCCCATCATCAGAGGACTGAAGGGAGCCAAGGCAGGACCTGGACACAGAAACCCAAGCAGAGACTACCAAGGGATGTTGCTTATGGCTTCTCCTCCTGACTTGCCCAGTTTGCTTTCTTAGCCAACCCAGGACCACCTGCTCAGGGGTTGGCTCCCCGTGGTGGGATGGGCCCACCCTACCCAGATCTATCATCAGTTGAGAAACTGTCCCACAGGCCAATCTGATGGAGGTGTTTTCTCAGTTCCAGTACAGTTACCTCTTCTTAGATGACTCCTGACTGGGTCAAACCAACACGTTCAGATACTGTGTTTTCTTGAATGCTAGAGTGGAGACCCTCGCTCCAATGGCAGTTAAGGTTTGAAAATACCGTAAAGTGTAAGGTAATATACAGTGTCAGAGTAGGAGTGGTACTGGGCTCCCTGACTGAGCTAGGCTGCAAAGTTCAAGTAGTGTGTTCGTTTAATGCTTACTTAGTGCTTCTAGGGGCAGCTCGTGGCGGCTGTAGCGTGCCAGGCCTATTGACAGTAAGCTATGGAAGATTTTATCAGAACAATTGTTTTATTTCATCCTTTAGAATAATTTTTATTTCCCCATTACAAAGAGAAATTGAAGTTGAGCTAACCTGTCTACTTTTCCCAAACTCCAGCTCTGTTATGGCAATAGGGGTGTCTATTTGAGCTGACTGCCTTGATTCAGACTTGCTGTCAACTCTCCACCTCAGGCCCCGAAGCCCACTGGATATTAAAAAATTAGATTTATTTTATATGTATGTATTTAGCCTAAGTGCATTTCTGTGCATCATGTGCAAGCTTGGTGCCTGTGGAGGTCAGAAGAGGGCATCAGATTCCCTGCACCTGCAGTTACAGACAGTTGTGAGTTGACGTGTGAGTACAGAGCCATTGGCAAGAACAGCATTTTCTCTCAACCTTCGAGCCATCTCCTCAGGCCCCTGAACCTGGATATTTAAAGTTATACTCTAGCTATTGATAGAGAATTTTGGTATTTGAAAGGGGAGTATTTCTGCGTTTGTGCTGTAATCGTCACTCATTCTCATTTTTGTCACCTGTCTTCATTAGGGTTTCATTGCTGTGAAGAGACACCATGACCATGGCCACTCTTACAAAGGAAAGCATTTAATTGGGGCTGGCTTTCAGTTTCAGGGGTTTAGTCCATGGTCACGGCAGGAAGCATGGCAGCGTGCAGGCAGACATGGTGCTGGAGGAAGGGAAAGTTCTACACCTTGATCCACACTTAGCAGGAGGATACTGTGCCACACTGTGGGCTAGCCTGAGTGCAGGAGACCCCAAAGCCCACCCTCCAGTGACACGCTTCCTCCAACAAGGCCACACCTCCTCAGTGCCCTCCCTGTGGGTCTGTGGGCACCACGCCTATTCGAACCACCATGCTTTTCTTTCTGGAAGTGCATTCAATAATTAAGCTCAATCACGGTATGTTCTAGAGTTAGGCAGCTTTGTCTAGTTGCTTACCAAGCTCATCTGTTTCTCTTTTCTGTTACATTTGTAGTCCATTGCATCTGCAGACATGGATTCCAACCAGTTAGAGGCATTTCTGACTGCTCAGACCAAGAAGCAAGGCGGCATCACCAGTGAGCAAGCTGCAGTCATTTCCAAGTTTTGGAAGAGCCATAAGACAAAAATCCGAGAGAGCCTCATGAACCAGAGCTGCTGGGACAACCGGCTCCGGGGCCTGAGCTGGAGAGTGGACAGCAAGTCTCAGTCAAGGCAGACAGCTCAAATACACACCCCTGTTGCCATGATAGAGCTGGAGTTCGGGAAGGGTGGACAGGTGAGGCCAACTCCAGTTTCCCTTTGGAAACTGTGTGTTTTCGTTACTTATTAATCCATACGTTTATTTTACTTCTATTTAACAATTTTGCAGAGCTAATCCTAAAATCATTTTTGGAGGTAGAGTTGTGAAGAATCTGATAGTCTCTGTTTAGACAAGAGTCTAAAAAGCGGCACAGGGCCCTTGCGCTGTCTCTAAAGGGCAGTTGGACAGTTGTGATTGCACTGCTGCAGCCTTGCGGGCAGGGACAGTGACGCTGAGTAGAGAGCGGGACCTGAGCTCCCGCAGTCAGGGAGGAGCAAAGCTCTCTGCTCCTGCCGTGGTGCCATCACTCTGGAATGGGAGGTGATATATTTTAATAACACCAATGTGCCGTTCCTAAAGACCGAGTGTGCCATCTCTGACCTTAGGCTCAGAACTAATTTTCAGTTTGATCTTATTTATGAACCAGTGCTGGTTTCCTTTGGAGTTTCTGGTCATTACAACAGGTGGGTTTAGTATCCATGTGGTTTATCGTAAAGCCATTCAGCTTCTGCTCCAGATGCTTGTCAAATAAGACTTTACGTGGCCTGCCTTGCCCTTTTTTGAGTAGGGAAGAGGGGAAAGAAACTGGTAATTAGAAACTAAACCAGACCATTGAGTTAAAATAAGTGCTTTCATTATATCCTCTACTAGAAATACATTTCTTTTCTTAATGATAAGCTTATTCCTGTTAGCTGGCAGGTTTCTTCACATACACTGTTCTTTAGGGTTGTTTTTTTCAATGTAATTCTATACTGACTTCAATTTTAAGTTAAGACTTTTGTAATTAAAAAATTAGAATGCCTTTTAGTCACTTGGCATAAAGCTGCTAATTGTAGCAGTGGACTTCAGTCTATTTGATTGTGAAGTCTGTTCGGCGGGTCGTGTGTATAGTGCGCGTGCACACGTGTGCCTGTACACACAGACACTCCCACACGCCCATGTGCACGTTATGTGCTCCCCGAGTCAAAAATGAGACAGATTAAAAGATACCATGGGCCCTGGTGAAGTGACTCCTCGGGTGAAGGGGCCGGCCGCCACACCGGATAACCTGACTTTGGTGCCTGGGACTCGCATGGTGGAGGAAGGCAACCAGCTCCTGACGTGTCTTCTGACCTCCACACAGGTGCCGGAAATGTGCATGACTTCCCCCAATACAAAATAAATAAAAGCGCAGTGAGAAGAAAGTAAAGATACTATGGCTAGGCTTGGCCATCTGAGTTTTTCTGGTGTATGTGTAGGCTGTTCAACCTCTCATCCATCTGGGTCAGGAGAGGACTAGTTTTAGGACACATGTCCCTGCACAGATACCAAGCCCCTGTTCACTTCCTGTACATAACATAGTGGAGTATTGGCATAGAACTTACACTTATGCCCATTGATTTTAAGTAATTCTAGATTGCTTATGATTCCTAAAACATGAATTCTGTATAAATGATTATACTGAGTTATTAGGGACTAATGACAGATAAAGTCTGTACATGTTAAATATAGAGATTTTGCCCAAGTATTTTTATTTTGTAGTTGGTTGAATCTTCAGATGTGGAGCCTGTAAGTAGGAAGAGTCTATTGTGTTATGTTGGCTTTAAGTACTTAATATGTGGTCATGGCTGTGAGACCATACATATCTTTCTTAAGGAAATCATTATAGGACTTCATTTGTTGTTGTTTTATGAGACTGGGTTTCTCTGCTTAACAGTCCTGGCTGTCCTGGACTCCCTCTGTAGACCAGGCCTGCTTTGAGCTCACAGAGATCCGCCTGCCTCTGCCTCCCGAGTGCTGGGATTACAGGTGTGAGCCACCATGCTCAGCCCATTTTATATATAGTACTTCTTTAACCTAGTATTTTCCTACTACTTCTTGAACTAAATTATAATGTGCTTTATAACTTTATTATAATAGTTTATAAACCATGTAGTCACAGGAAAAAAATTCTTGATATAGAAAACAAAATAGTTGAATCTGACAATTTTACTGTGTCAAGTAAATCACACTAAAAGTACATATGACTGTGTTTACATAAAATTTTAGAGAGCACATAAAATTTTAGTGATATAAAATGATAGAAGCAAAGCAATGATTTATTTTTAAGATGTTGAGTCTTGACGCTGTAAATTTTCCCCTTAGGCTGCTTGTGTTCTATCCTGTCCATTTTAATATGTTACATTTTCATTTGATTCTAGGAATTTCTTTTTTCATACTATAAAATATTTAATAAAAATAATTTTATAATCTATACAGAATTTAATAAAAAGTAGAACAAATTGTTTTCACTTTGCAAAACTTTATACAGTACAACTAACATGTTAGTTTCAGTATTCTATAAATATGCCCATTTAGTGATATAGGAACGTATTTTTTATTTAAATAGGTAAAAAGGATGAGACTGGGTGCTACACACTTAAATTCCAGGAAAAATGTTGCTTTGGTAATGTGAAGAATTTGATTGTACTACAATGCATTTGTACTTTAGAAATTTAAATTTCTCGAGCACAACACTTTCCTTGTTTCTGCGTAACCAGTTCCCTATAGAGCAACAGGTGACACTTTTGTTCTTGTTGGCAACTATGTAAAAGAAAGCACTGGCCTGAGGAGCCTTCCACCCAAACAGACCTTGAAGATTTGGTCCAGTCTTGTGTTTGCTTGCGGCCTTTTCCCACAGTGCACTGGGCACACTTCTAAACAAAATCTTTTTGCTTTTCTCAGTAACGTTTTCTTTTCTTTTCTTTTCTTTTCTTTCTCTTTTTGTGTTCTGAGAAAGAGTTTCTCTGTGTAAGCCTAGCTGTCCTAGAACTCAGTTTATAGTCCCGGCTGGCCTAACAGTCAGAGACCCGCCTGCCCCTGCTTCATGAGTGCTGGGCTTAAAGGTGCGGCCACTACTGCCCACCATCTTACTGTTTTCATAATGCTTGATGTTTTCTCAGATTTTCTTGATATTTCCTTGCTAATTTACTCTACCAGTACAGTTCATTGTTCCCCGTGTCTCATGAATGTTTTTATCTTCCTCTTCCGTGTGTAGGATTCCTTCCAGTAGCTTCTGTGGTTCTGGATTAGTGGTGATGAATTCTTTTAGTTTGTGTTTATCATGGAAACTTTTTTGTTCTCCAATTGTGAAGAATAGTTCTACTGGATATAATAATCCAGGTTGGCAGGGGTTTTTCCCCTCCTTCCCTCCCTCCCTCCTTTCGTTCCTTCCTTCCTTCCTTCCTTCCTTCCTTCCTTCCTTCCTTCCTTCCTTCCTTCCTTCCTTCCTTTCTCTTTCTTTCTTTCTGTTTTGTTTTTCAAGATAAGGTTTCTCTGTGTAGCCTTGGCTCTCCTGGACTTTATTTGTAGACCAGACTGGCCTTGAACTCAGAGATCTGCCTGCCTCTGCCTTTCCAAGTGCTGGACTTAACAGGCATCCACACGCTTGGTGACAGTTGTTTTTCAGAGCTTGAAGTGCACAGTTCCTCCCCCGGCCTTTAGATTTTCTGTGAGGAAATGTGCTGTCCCGAGGGATTTGCCTTTGCGTGTGATGTGGTGCTTGTCTCTCACAGTTCTCAATGTTCTGTGTTCTGTAAGCGTGATATTTAACTGTAGCATGCATGGTCTTGTTTGTTTGGCTTTGTTTCTAAATGCTTCCTGTATCTGGGTGCTTATCTCTTTCCCTATATTTGGGAAATGTGCTGTAATTTTATCAAATATATTTTCTGTACCTTTAACTTCAGTAACTTCTTCCTCTTCCCTGTCTTTCAACGTGTCTCTTATATCTCATACATTGTCTTGTCTCCTGCTTTGTGGTATAGGGATTTGGACCCAGGACGTACATGCTAGGCAAGCACTCAGCCACTCAGCCACATACCAGCCTTCTCCTTTTTGTACTTCCTGTTTGTAAGACAGACTTTCAGAAAGTTGCCTAGGTTTGCCTTAAGCTTCTGAAAGCCTTGAATCTCAGCTTCCCAAATAGCTGGTGTCACAGGCTAATTGGATATGCCATTATGAAAGTCCAGCATAAGCCAACTAAAAACAGTCATGTCTTCAATAAGAATGACTTTTGGAGGAGCGAAGAAACAAAGGTAGTAGGTGTGCACATGTCTTCTCCCTTTCGGGTACAGGGGCTGGGCCTGTCTCTGTGTGGCCCCCAGGCCCATGATGCCTACTGTGGATTTCCAGGGTGGACTCTGCAGGGAGGGATGTTTGCCCCGAGATTTCACGCTGCTGCCTTAGTGGGCTCTTCTAAGAATGGCTTCTTTGGGCTGGAGAGATGGGTCAGTGGTTAAGGGCACTGCCTGCTCTTCCAGAGGACCCAGATTTTATTTCTATCGCAACTGTCAGCACCTCCAGTTTTAAGGGGTCCAGTGCCCTCTTCTGGCCTCAGTGAACACTAGGCTTGCACATGGTGCACAGATGTACATGAAGGCAAAGTCCCCAAAGACATAAAATAAAAATGAAAAAATAGTGGCTTCTTAGCTGTTCATGCCTGTAACCCCAGCATTTCAGGAGCTGAAGTAGGAGGCTCACAAGTTTGAAGGCATGTTGAAGAAATTCAGAAAGTTGAGGAAAGCAGTTATAAGTGAAACTGGGTAAAACCTTACTGGACCTTGTGGTTTCACTTGGTTTTGGTTACTTTAAAAATCAGTCATCCAAGGGGGGATACAAAGTAAATAAAGTATAATTAAAAATAAAAAAAAAGAATAAAAGAATTGGAAAGAAAAAAAAATTTACTATGTGAAAAAAATAAAATAAATTTAATGATTAATTAAAATAGAAGGATATCATCTGTCTTGATAGAGATATTTTAATGAGAATTCCTTTGCAGTACCAAAAAAAGGATATTAGCATGTTCACTAATCTGTCCAGTAATGCAGTCATCTGAATGAATGCCCAAATTTCTCTAGGCTGAAAATTATTCTGTGTTTCATGAACAGTGAGCAGACAGATCTAAACATGTTTTGTCTATTATCTAAAGAGGTTTCCTTAATGGGACAAAATTTAGAATA